CCCCCCAAAAGGAAAGCGCCATTTGGCATTACTATCGATGCTGCGTATAGATCCATCGGCGAAGGTGGAGACACGGTAAACTAGCGTAATATCTCGACGTGGAGGCACGGCGCTACCGGTCTCATTCCTCCTCTTGTTTCTTTTTCTTTATACAAAGTCAAAAGACAAAGCCTGTCTGGACAAAACGCAGCCATCGCGGCGGAGAATCGCCACACGCAGACAAATAATATTAATGGCACGCGCCGGCGAAAACTGTGATTATTACATCGTATAATTGGCGAACAAATTAATATATTGGCGTAATTAATAATAATCATATTCGTAATTCCGACTGTGAAATTCTTTTATTGTAGCCAATGTATTCGCGCCGATTAAACACGAATCCTTATACGCGATATTTCCCAACGGCGGCTATTAAATTTTAATTAATACAACGCTCTCTCTCCTCAAACTCCGCAAACGCGATATGAAACGCTCGCGATGCATGCTGTGTATGCGTTATGAGTCATCTGGCTGTAATCATTTTTGCGATTCAATCGAAATGGCATACCCGTGGGATATCGTCGTCCTTATTACGGCGCGTGTAAAACGTCAAAGGGTGAGAGAGAGAGAGGGGAGGGAGAAAGGGGTGAAAAAGATTGAGGGAGAGGGGAGAGCTGTGATAATTTCAGCTAATAGAAATTTCACGGAAGACACCGGGATCGGCAGTAGTATGCTTTGTCGATCGTTTCTACGTGAACGCCGAAACTTGTTAACCCCAGAATATCCGCTCGTTACACGAAGCGTTCGCGCAACTCGAGCGCTCGACAGGAGCGCGCGCGCGCGGTCTATTCATCCTTGCAGAGCCATCGAGGCAGAAGAGTCTGTGGCACGTCGTTATTCTTGCTAATAGATCGACGGGAGTGGGTATTGTCCCGACAGTTACTTGAAGGATCTCGTCGTCGTCGCTCCTTTTCTCGCCGTTTTAACAGCTCGAGCGTGGATATAAGGAGCGAGAGACTCTCTCCCCTTCTCCTCTCCTCCACGTCATCGTCTTCGTCTTCGTTGTCGTCGTCGTCGTCGTCGTCGTCGTCGCCGCTTCTCGTTGGAAGAGGAGAATAAATAAAAACACACCGCTGTGCAGAAGAGGGGAGGAAAGTTCGAGCATCGACAAAAGATAGGGCCGATTTCGCGCACCGCTATCCGGTATCCAGGATGAGCATCGCGGCGACAAAAGATGCGCACGCGGGTAGGAAGAAGGCATCCGTGAATCGAATTATGCTCGCCTGGTTTGCGCGGACTGGGTCCTCCTCCTCGTAAGGGGACCCAAGAGCTTTGGAGGGGCCTCTAAAGAACGTCGTTCAACAGAGGAGCCCGATCCTGAATGAGTCCTGACCTCGAAGGACCGTTGTCGCGCACACCGGGCCGCGCGTAATGGATGCGCGCCCATTGAGAGCGTACGTCAAAACGCGTAACATAATATCGGGGTCCTTGCGTGCAAGAGCCCATGCCTAATGGAATTTATTAGAGAAGGTACTTCCTTTTCCACGAGATCCCGCGTGGCCCGGGGTTTGCTCGCGTCTGCCGCGTTTGGAATCAAGAGGCCCTCCAGAGCTCGTCAGATTGTCTTTGGATCATCGAAGGTATTTCTCCTCTTCTTTTCCTCGACGTGGAAAAGCACACTGCGAGCATCAGAAGGGAGATTGCTGGACCTTGACGGTAATTCATAGACGCGATCGATCGGCGTATTGCGACGCGATTTCGTCAAAGGATTATTTGTAGTTTTAATCAAGCACCAGAATCCTATGAATCTCAAAGTAACGGTCTTATCAGAGCTAATCTCGTGGTGAAATTTATTTATTATTCGCCTTGAACCGCGTCGAACGAATTTATAAACTTGACGTTACTTATGTTGAATATATTATATGTACGGATATCGTGCGTGTTTGACGGAGGAGCACATAAAAATGCAATCACTCGGTGATTTAATAATGCGAGTAAATACCAAATCAGGTGACACGCAATGTACTGTGCCTCGGCTGCCCGCAATAGTTCTGTACGTATAAAACGTTTTATCCCCGATAAAAGATAAATTGCTGTTTTTCGCCGGGAAGTTGCGACCCGTGTGAAACTCGTCCCGGGATAAAACGTCGTACAAAATAACACCGTAGCAATATCTACGGAGATTTAGGAGGGGAGGAGTGAACAAACGATCCGGGAGCCTGGTCACGTATTAAAGAGCAGAGTGGACGAATTTTGGGGCGCGGAGCGAAGAAAATGAACAAGGGTTAGTCTCGTGTCTGGATTAGCTTTCGGAACCGAAACGAATTAATACTATATCGCGCGCCGAATAAGGCTGCACGTATTTCCACGTGCCGGCGGCGATTGTGTGTGTAAGAGAAAGATAGGGATAAAGAGAGAGAGAGAGAGAGAGAGAGAGAGAGAGAGAGAGAGAGAGAGAGAGAGAGAGAGAGAGA